TCTATAACTGTGTCATTCAAATAAATAAAATAAATCTTTAAAAAAAAAAGAAGAAGCATGTGTCCCATAATGAGGTGCTTTGTACTTTATGTATAACTCTAGACAACATAAAAAATGATTAAAATTACCAGATAAAATATGATACCCAGTTAAATTTGTTAACTTTCTCTATTGCTTTCCTATTTTTTATTTCATTAGTTTCTAGTCTGATAACAAAATAAGAATAAAATATTAATACATTATATTATATATAATAAAATAATACAAATTTATTTTCTTCTCTTTACTTGGGATTTAATTTGCCCTTCTTTCACTAGTTTCCTAAGGTGGTAACCTAAATGATTAGTTTTAGATTTTTTTTAATATATGCATTCAATGCTATAAATTTCCTTCTATGCTCTGCTTTCATTATGTTCCATGAATTTTTTTAAGATTTATTTATTTATTTATTTATCTGAAAGTCAGAGTTACACAGAGAGAGAAGGAGAGACAGAGAGAGAGAGAGGTCTTGCATCCGATGGTTCACTCCCTAGTTAGCTGCAATGGCTAGAGCTGGGATGATCAGAAGCCAGGAGCCAGGAGCTTCTTCTGGGTCTCTCATGTGGGTGCAGGGCCCCAAGGACTTGGGCCATCTTCCACTGCTTTCCCAGGCCATAGCAGAGAACTGGATTGGAAGTGGAGAAGCTGGGACTTGAACTGGCGCCCAGATGGGATGCCAGCACTGCAGACGGTGGCTTTACCCACTACACCACAGTGCCAGCCCCATCCCATGAATTTTGATACCATACTCTCATCTTACTTAGTCCAAAGAATTTCTAAATTCCTCTTGAGATTTAACCCATGTTATATGTATGTTATATATAAAGAATTGTGTTGTTTAATCTCCAAATATTTGAGGATTTTTCCAACTCTCTTTTTTTAAAAAGATTTCTTCTATTTATTTGAAAGACAGAGTTACAGAGAGAGAGAGGTAGAGAGGTAGAGAGGTAGAGAGAGAGAGAGAGAGAGAGAGAGAAAGTCTTCTGTCTGCTGGTTTACTCCCCCAAATAACTGCAATGGCCAGAGCTGAGCTGAGCTGAGCTGAGCTGAAGCGAGGAGCCAGGAACTTCATCCAGGTCTCCCACATGGGTGCAAGGGCCCAAGGACTTGGGCCATCTTCCACTGCTTTCCCAGGCCACAGCAGAGAGCTGGATCAGAAGTGACTCAAACCAGTGCCCATATGCATGCTGGCACTGCAGGCGGTGGCTTTACCTGCTATGCCACAGCGCTAGCCCCTGTACATTTCTGATATGAATGTTAATGTCTGTAACTATAAAAGTAGATTCATCTATTTATCCTTGTAATTCTATCAGTTTTTGCCTCAAGTATTTTGATGCTCTGTTGTTAGATACAGAAACACTAGGGATGGTCGTGTCTTCATAGAGAATTAGCTAGCCTCTTTATCATTATACCCTGCCTACCCCAATAACTTCCTTTGCTTTGACATCTGCTTTAAAAAATAGCTACTCCTGCTTTCTTTTGATTAGTGTTATCATGCTATATCTTTCTCCATATTTTAAATTAAATGTCTTTATATTTAAAATAAGTTTCAGGCAGAGGTTTAACCTCTGTGCCACAATGCTATCCCCTATCCACCTGTTCTTGCATTTGTTTACATTTTTCCATTAGATCCCCTTAGCATATGAATTATAGTTGTTTTATATTGCTGCTCTGCAAATTCCAACTTCCCTATCATATCTGACCTGTTCTGTTGCTTGCTGTGTGTCTTAAACAGTGCTTTTATTTTTAGCTTTTGGCATACCTTGTAATTTTTTGTCCAGTCCACATATAATGTACCAGGTGAGAAGAAGTCTAGTATAAATAGACCTTCAGGGGTATAGTGTTGTGTGGGGAGGGCAAATGTTCTACAGTCCTACAACTAGGTCTTGGTCTTTTGGTGAGCTTGTGTCTGTGGACTGTGAACTTCACCAGTACATCTAAGTTGTTTTTTCTCCACTTAGGAACAGTATGGCTACAAGGAGCCAGAATTAGATATTTCCCTCCCCCTGGTAGGTTACATACTAGTAAAACCACAGGCTCTTGAAGGCAGGCCTTGTTAGAACGCAGTGGCACACTTCAAAATGGTTACTTTTCCCCTCCCTCTGCCAGGGCACAAAGGATCTTTTTCCCACATCTTCTGTGAAATGAGCCCCTGCATGTAAATCTCACAAGAGTGGTCCCTCCACAAGACAGGGTCCTCCTGGAATTTTCTCTCTCCAAGTGTCCACATTGGGCCTCCAGCAATTCAACAATGACGCTTTAGATTTCTCAGGACACATTCCCACATTCTCACTTATGTTTCTGCTTTATTATGTGGTGATTCTCTTTACCTATCTGTCTCTGATTTAAGGGGCAGCGACTGTGACCTCACTTCCCTATCAAATCTAAGGCAATATATATGTATTTATTTTTTTAAATATCTGTGTACCTATTTCATTGCAAAAATAAGCTTATATTTGGTAAGTTTTTAAACTTCCTTTTTTAAATATTTATTTATTGGGGCCACCACAGGTTCTCTCGCCAAATGGCTACAACAGCTGTAGCTGGGCTAATCCTAAGCCAGGAGCCAAGAGCTTCTTCTGAATCTCCCACATGGGTGCCGGCCCCAAAGAGTTGGCCATCTTCTACTGCTTTCCCAGACACATTAGCAGGGAACTGGGTCAAAAGTGGAGCAGCCGGGACTCAAACAGACACACCCTGATGGGATGCCATTGATGCAGGCTGAAGCTTTAACCTCCTGAGCCAAAGAGCCGGCCCTATAAAATTCCTTTTGTTTAACTTAAGAGTGCATCTTTGGGGCTGGTGCTGGGGCACAATGGGTTAATGCCCTGGACTGAAGTGCCATCATCCCTTAAGGGCACTGGTTTGAGACCTGGCTGCTCCACTTCCAATTCCGCTCTCTGCTGTGACCTGGGAAAGCAATAGAAGATGGCCCAAGTCCTTGGGCCCCTGCACCCACGTGGGAGATCCGGAGTAAGCTCCTGGCTCTTGGCTTCGGATCAGCACAGCTCCGGCCGCTGCGGCCATCTGGGGAGTGAACCAGTGGATGAAAGACTTCTCTCCCTCTCTCTCTGTCTCTCTCTCTCTCTGCCTCTCATCTCTCTGTGTAACTCTGACTTTCAAATAAATAATAAATCTTTAAAAAACACGTTTTTTAAAAAAGAGTGCATCTTTGTAATTTTTCTATGTTGATAAATAGAGATTTACATTGTCAGTTCCTTGGTTAATTGATATTCAGTTACACAAGTGTTTCCTAATTTACTGAACAATTCTCATACAACTGTCAATGCTATTCACAACACTGCTCAGTTATCCTTGCACTAATTGCCATATTTATATGATTACTGCTCTACGAAAACCCCATTAAAAGAATATTTTTGTTTGTTCTAATTACAAAAATAATGCATGTTCACTGTAGAATATTGGAAATGCAAGCAAGTGTACCCCAGAAATAACAACCAGTGTCCATATTTAAGCCATGTTTTTTTTTTCTAAAAGGTAAGTTTATTTTGGTACAAAAACCTTTTGAAATCCATGTATATAAGGGATCTTCAAAAATTTTATGGAAAATGCACACTATAAATAAAACTATATATGGATTTACAATGATATATTAATACAGCTATGACAATACAGTGTGATACCCATATCATTTTTTTATAGCCACATGACATCAGCACATCATAAGCCATGTTTTAACTTTAAATATAAGAAAACTGTCTTGGCCAGCTCTGTGACAGAGTAGGCTAAGCCTCTACCTGTGCTGCTGGCATCTCATATGGGTGCCAGTTCAAGTCCCAGTTGTCCCACTTTTGAGCCAGCTTCTTTTTTTTATTTATTTATTTATTTATTTATTGACAGGCAGTGGACAGTGAGAGAGAGAGACAGAGAGAAAGGTCTTCCTTTGCCGTTGGTTCACCCTCCAATGGCCGCCGCGGCCGGCATGCTGCGGCCGGCACACCGTGCTGATCCAATGGCAGGAGCCAGGTGCTTCTCCTGGTCTCCCATGGGGTGCAGGGCCCAAGTACTTGGGCCATCCTCCACTGCACTCCCTGGCCACAGCAGAGAGCTGGCCTGGAAGAGGGGCAACCGGGACAGAATCCGGCACCCCGACCAGGACTAGAACCTGGTGTGCCAGCGCCGCAAGGCGGAGGATTAGCCTAGTGAGCCGCGGCGCCAGCCTTGAGCCAGCTTCTTGCTGATGGCCTGGGAAAGCAGTAGAAGATAGCTCAAGTGCTTGGGCCACTGGGAGATCCAGAGAAAGCTTCTGGTTCCTGGCTTCAGATCAGCTCAGCTCTGGCCATTGCAGCCATTTGGGAAGTGAACCAGTGAATGGAAGACCTCTCTCTCTGTCTCTCCCTCTCTCTGTCTATAACGCTGCCTCTAAATGAATAAATATTTAAAAATAAATAAATAAAAGTAATGAATGCCTCTAATGAAGGAGGCATTGGGCACAGTGGTTAAGGTGCCTCTTGAGACATATGTATCCCATACTAGAGAGCCTGGGTTTGAGTCCCACCTCCACTTCCAATCTAGCTTCCTGCTAATGCACACCCTGAGGCAGCAGGTGATTGCACAAGTTCTTGAGTCCCAACGCCACCTGTTGGAAGACCTGGATTGAGTTTCAGGCTCCTGGCTTTGGCCTGCTGCAGTCCCAGCTGTTGCTGGCATCTGGGGAATGAACCAGGGGACAGAAAATCTATGTCTCTCTGTTTCAAATAAATTTTTTAAAAAATACTGTCTAATTAGTAATCAGCTACTCCCAAGCCCTTCTCTTCTTGATTTTGTCCTGGGAGATATTCCGCCTCCCTCACCTGACTTTCATAAATATGGACTACATGACTTCACTAAGCTGACCTTTGTGAGTTCTGGAGGCACTCTTATTTTCCAATATGACTTACCTACATTCCCACAAATGTATTTAAGAACTATTTGTAGTAATTTTTTTGTTTCATTTCCAGGTGTAAGAAGACCCCCAAGTAACTACAAAATTAAATACAAGCATGCTTATAGTAAATTCACTGTGTCTCATTTTGTTCTGTTTCATGGATATACATACATTGCTTTGTCTCTTCTTTGCCTTTGCATTGGAGCCAGATTTATGTACAGAAACAAGACATTGAGGTCTTTAATAGGAAGTAGTCTTTTATTATTATTTATAACAGCATAAGGCCTAGGTGGATTTTTACCCAAAAGCCTAAGCCGGAACAGAGAGGGCTATTTTCTTATATATGATTTTAGCTTCTTTGTCTCCCTTATGTGGCTACATGCCTGCATTTGAATGGATATTCTAATGTTACATGGGAGCCACAGAAATTGATACAATACTGCACAAGCATACATAGTTACTGATGATGGGTTTGTTTTTTTTTTTCCACACACATACTGAGCTGTATGCGCTCTCCCATAGGTTAACACCATCCCTCTACACTAACAAGCAGGAAGCCAAGCAGATAGTAACTCACAGGCAAGCAGATAACAACCACATTTCATTCCCAGGACAGGTTCCTCCTTTTGTCTTCTTCGGACCTCGGGCCTCCTCGGGAAGCCTCTACCACAATGTTAATCATGTTAGTTAGAAACCATTCTAATTAAAATACAAAGGTCTTGAGAGAACTCAAGATGGCAGAGTAGGGAGGGAGCTTACCGCTCTAGTTTAGGAGATGATTTTAACAAATAGAGAGAGTGCAGGCTCAGGGAAGAGTTAGGGAGAAAACAGCAGAGGAAACTCTACAAAAATTAGAGGGACACAGTGGACCTACATGGAGGGCATGGATGCCCACAACTCAGGACCCCAGCAGCCGAGAGCTTCCACACCAGCGTTGGACAGTGAGGTGAGACCAGACTGCAGCAGCCCAAGCAGCTGGCGATGAAGCTGTAGGAAGAGTCTAGAGGGAATCCAGCTTGGAGCCTTGTGGGGGATAGTGTACTTGACAATCTAGAGGAGAAAAAAAAAAGGAGGAGCATATTTCTTTCTCTCGGATCACCCTGCAACAGCATCCTGTAACAAGCTGATAGAGAGCAGGTGCCATTTTGGACATATGTAACAGCTGTGCCAGCTCATGTCCTTGCCCAGCAGCCAGCCGAGTGGACAGTCCTGAGTCCAGTAGGGAGATCTGACAGGGGGCTCGGTGCTCCTGACTGTGGGAGGCTTGTGTGCCAGGACTGTGAAAACAATGAGGCTGTGTGGGAGGGCTCACAGTGTGCCTGGGACTGACAGTCACTGTGGGAGGCTCCACACTCACAGGGCTCCCTAGTTACCTGGTGAGGGACACTGCTGGGGAATCTGAGCTTACACTGAGAACTGCACAGATCCTTTGTGTGGTCCTTGGGGCACAGTGAATGAATATTTTACCCACTGGGGCCAGCGCTCAGGCACTAGTCTAGTCTCCCTTGAGGAGAGGAGCTCAGCTGAGAAGAATAAACCTTCCCTCAGATTTGAAAAAAAAAAAAAAAGGGAGACTTACCACGATAACCCTTCGTGTCACCTTAGACACGCCCTTCACCCTGGAGAACGGAACAGAGCTCCCTGGCCACACCCACCACAGGCCTCTAGGTATTCAATGAAAGCAGACACTCCACTAATCTACAAAGGCATAGTACAAAGATAAAAGCTGCCATAGAGAAAAAACAAAGAAGAAACTAACAAAAATCTCCACAAAGAACGAGTAACAAACACACCAATTCAAGAAATAAGACTAAGGAAGAAAACATGATGCCCCCAAAAGAACACAACATTTCATTCTAGAATGTGAAGATAATGAAATTGAAGAAATGCCAGAAATGGAATTCAAAAAATTGATTGTAGGGGCTGGCACCATGGCACCACCTGCAGCATCAGCATCCCATGTGGGCGCTTGTTCTAGTCCCGGCTGCTCCTCTTCCCATCCAGCTCTCTGCTATGGCCTGGGAAATCAGTAGAAGATGGCCCAAGGCCTTGGCTCCCTGCACCCTCATGGGAGACCTGGAAGAAACTCCTGGCTCCTGGCTTCAGATCAGTGCAGCTCCAACCATTGCGGCCATTTGGGGAATGAACCAGTAGACAGAAGACCTGTCTCTCTGTCTCTCCCTCTCACTGTCTGTAACTCTACCTCTCAAACAAATTTTAAAAAATTGATTGTAGGACTACTTAGAAGTACTCAAAAGTAAATGCATGAACTAATGAAATCCATACATGACATGAAATTGAGATCTTAAAGAGAAAGCAAAATGAAATCTTGGAAATGAAGAATTTAATAGAACAAATAAAAATTGCAGGGAACGCCTAAACAATAAAGCAGAAGACAGAATATCTGACTAGAAGACAAAGCGAAGAAAATTATATAATCAGAGCCAGTGCAGAGGCTCACTTGGCTAACCCTCTGCCTACAGCACTAGCACACCAGATTCTGTCCCGGTTGGGGCTCCTCTTCCAGTCTAGCTCTCTGCTGTGGCCCGGGAAGGCAGTGGAGGATGGCCCAAGTGCTTGGGCCCTGCACCCGCATAGGAGACCAGGAGGAAGCACCTGGCTCCTGGCTTTGGATCGGCACAGCACACCGGCCGGCCGTAGTGGCCATTTGGGAGGTGAACCAATGGAAGGAAGACCTTTCTCTCTGTCTCTCTCACTGTATATCTCTCTCACTGTCTAACTCTGCCTGTCAAAAAAAAAAAAAAAAAAGAAAGAAAGAAAAAAGAAAAAGAAAATTATATAATCAGACAATAAACAAGAGGAAGAAATTAGAAAACAAAAAACCATGTTGGGAATCTATAAGATACTATCAAACAACTCAACATACATGTTCTAGGAGTTCCTGAAGGCATGGGTAGAGAGAAAGGATTAGAAGGCCTTTTTAGTGAAAGAATAACAGAAAATTTCCCCAATTTGGAGAAAGATAGGGACATCCAAGCACAGGAAGCACATAGAACTCCTAATAGACATGACCAGAAAAGATCTTCACCACAAAACATTGTAATCACACTCTCCACAATAAAACATAAAGAAAAGACTCTAAAATGTGCATGAGAGAAATGCCAGATTACTTTCAGACAATCTCCAATTAGACTCACAGTGGACTTCTCATAAAAAACCCTATATGGTAGGAGGGAATGGCAAGATACATTCTAAGTCTTAAGAGAAAAAAACTACAGATGATGAACTCACTGACGGGCAGAGACTGTGCTCTGTCATGTTCTGATTGGGCTAAATATTAAAAAGAGAGAGAGAGAAAAACCTATCAACACAAAATACTATACCTTACAAAGCTCTCATTTATGAATGAAGGTGAAATAAAGATCTTCCATGACAAACAGAAACTGAAAGAATTTGTCACCACCCATCCAGCCCTGTAGAAGGTGCTTAAGGATGTGCTGCACACAGAAATACAAAAACATGATCATTACTATGGAAGAAGGCAAAGGAAGGAGATCTCCCCATAAAAGTACAATGGAAATCCAAAGTAAAAAATGGGAATATTTATGGAAAATGCCAAGGCAAAGTCATTATCTATCAATAGTCACCTTGAACTGTAAATTGCCTTAACTCTCTAGTTAAAAGACACACGCTGGCTGAATGGATTAAAACAAAACCCATCGGGGCTGAAACTGTGGCGCAGCAGGTTAAAGCCCCAGCCTGCAGTGCCGGCATCCCGTATGGGTGCAGGTTTGAGTCTCGGCTGCTCCACTTCTGATCCAGCTCTCTGTTGTGGCCTGAGAAAGCAGAAGAAGATGGTCCAAGTCCTTGGGCCCCTGCACCCGTGTGGGAGACCCAGAAGATGCTCCTGGCTTCGGATCAGCACAGTTACGGCCATTGCAGCCATCTGGGGAGTGAACTACCAGATGGAAGACCTCTCTCTCTGTCTCTGCCTCTCTGTAACTCTGCCTTTCAAATAAAAATAAATCTTTATATAAAAAAAAAAGGATGTAAATGAATATCAGCCAATTGAATACAATAATCAACATTTTCTTCTAAAAATACAAGAATGGCTTAACAGAAAAAAACTATCATATACACTATTGGTGGGAATGTAAATTAGTATAGCCACTATGGAAAACAGTATGGAGATTTCTTTAAAAACTAGAAATAGAACTGCCATACTCCTACACCCATGTGGGAGACCCAGAAGAAGCTCCTGGCTCCTGGCTTCAGATAGGCCCATCTCTGGCAGTTGCAGTCATTTGGGGTGTGAACTGGCAGATGTAGGATCTCTCTCTCTCTCTCTCTCTCTCTCTGTAAGTCAGATTTGAAGTAAATACAAAAACTTTTATATATATAAAATTAAAAAGAACTGGCCAGCGCTGCGGCTCACTAGGCTAATCCTCCGCCTGCAGTGCCAGCACCCCGGGTTCTAGTCCCAGTTGGGGCGCCGGATTCTGTCCCGGTTGCTCCTCTTCCAGTCCAGCTCTCTGCTGTGACCTGGGAAGGCAGTGGAGGATGGCCCTAGTGCTTGGGCTCTGCACCTGGCTCCTGGCTTCAGATTGGCGCAGCACACCGGCCTTAGCGGGCACTGGGGGGTGAACCAACAGAAAAAAGGAAGACCTTTCTCTCTGTCTCTCGCTCTCTCTCTCTCACTGTCTATAACTCTCTCTGTGTGTGTGTCTCTCTCTCTCACTGTCTAACTGCCATAGCAATATTTCTTGGTATATATCCAAAAGACATGAAATGATCTTATCAAAAAGACATCTGCTACACAACGTTTATTGCAGCACAGTTTGCTATAGTTAAGACACAGAATCAAACAAGGTATCCATCATCAAATGAATGGATTTTTTTAAAAAATGTGAACTATATACACAATGGAATATTATTTAACAAAAATAAAAGAATGAAACCCTGTCATTGGCAGCAACATGAATGGAATTAGAAGATATCATGTTAAGTAAAACAAGTCACACACAGAAAGACAAATACTGCATGTTCTCCCTCATAGGTGAAAGCTAAAGCAAATCCAATCTGAACTCACAATGGTGATTGGTAGAGGCTGGGCAGAGTGGGGAGGATGGAGGAATGTGGATAAGAGGCACTAAATCAGTGAGAGGGGCC